TCCTCTCTCTCTCTCTCTCTCTCTCTCTCTTTCTCTCTCTTTCTCTCGAAGGCGACACGATCATCGAAAAAAAAAACCGATCCCTCCTCGTCGTGCAACCTGATTGCGTGTACTGCGTTTCGATGTTACGTCGTTTTATCGATAACCCAAGATTCTTCCAGAGGGGCGTTCGCACACGATTTCGCGATAAATCGACCGCCATTTCTTCTGAACGAGGCGCGATCGTGTTCAACTTTCGAGGGTTCCTCGAAGGATTAAAGTTAGGTAGAAAAGTGAAAGTGAAAGGGGAGCAGAACTTGGAACGTTTTTTTGGGGGGGAGGGGGAAAAAGGAGTTAATTCGAGATAAGGAAGATTTATCGAAAATCGTGTGTGAACAGCCCGGCTATTTGTATACTCCAGTTACTAGTGCTTTGCAGAGTATGCTCGTTCGACGTTATCAAACTTTCTATCGAAGATATATATATATATATACATCGGGCGACGAATAATGTTTTTGTCATCCTTGTTGTGTTGGGATTTTCTGTGAAATGGTGACGCAACGTTCACGTACATTCAGGGATTCGTTCCTCGTACCTGTTGCTCATGGGGGATTGGATAGGATTTCTTCGACGTTTGTGAACAATTTCTGGATCAATTTCAACTAATTTATATCAAAGGGATTAGATTTCTTTTTAAAATTCTCGTTTTATGGATCGTCGATTTTGAAGAAGTACATTTTCAAGTTTAAAAATCATTTGGGATTCTCCAATTATTTGAAAGTGAATTTCAATTTTACATGGAATTCGTTTTAATATAACGTTATTGAAAATCAAAGATTAGAAGATCATCTTTAAGGTAAAAACCTAAAAGAATCTTACTTTATTCTTCGTATCTAAACACCGGAAATCTGTAAATCAAATTTCTTATTTCTCAAACGAATTTCAACAACAAATAGATTTTCGAATTTAAATTCCAAGTATTAAAATTAATTTAGGAATCTATTGGAACGAGCCAGTCGAATTTATACGACTAAAGCACTCCAATCCGCAATTTACAAGAGGACGATGAATGGCCGCCATTTAAAACTGCCAAGAGACATATCCCGCGAAGATCTTCCGTCGTCTCGTCTATTTTCACCCATAATTTCTCAATCGTACCCGATATTTCGAAAGCCAAACCTCCACACTGACGTTGCCAATAAATTCCTGGTTGCTTTCACAGCACGATAAATCCAGCATGCGGAGTAACATTTACCAGATTACCATCGTCGTTGTGATTCGTACAGCTTCTCCGTAAATCGTGGACGCCATTAAAGAGAATCGTGTTCGTGAAACGCGTGTCTGACACGAATTCGCGCTATAAGCGATTCTTCTTCATCCGATCTAGGTTTCATTGTCGGATCTCTGTTCACGATTGCGCCGCCATTTCACGATCGAGCCGTCACGTGACGCGTCTAGCGGGCACAAAATGGCGCCCGCATGCGAGAAAATGACGAAAACGGCTGCAAACACTCGCGTATCGCGTGTTTCGTGATTCGAAACGCCGCCTTCCTTGTCTTATCCAACGTTATATAATAATGGATCGAGAGAAAATTCTGGCAGAATTTGAGAAAATTGAACGGGAATTATGAATTTCAAAGCATGATACAAATATGGTTAGAACGAGCAATTTGTTCTTTTTCTTTGAAGAATTTATGATATATAAATATTTGTGATATTTTCTTTGTTGAACGGATCAATCGTTAATTCTTTTATAATTTTATAAAAGAATAAAGATGGTAGATATAATGATACAAGTTATATCATGATAAATCAATATTTCTTTAAATTTTAGTACGCTTTTTGGTGTATTTCTTCAAATCGAAGAAGCATGATGAGATTGTAAAGTTTAACATATTCGTGAGATTTTATTTTATACGTATAAAAAAGAAATTCAATAATTTATAAAATATATATATATATTGTTGCATCTACATTTGTTCGAATAAAATATAACGAAAATTCAATTTTTTCGAAAAGAATTCTATATTATCATGCTTTAGTTATATATAATTAGTTATAACGAACAATTACAACAGAATATTATTATTTTATATTATTATTTTCAAACTTTAATCTCGTTGAATCGATCTCTTGAAGAAATAGAATTTTATATTTACAACTCACGTACTTCGTATATAATTTTTCTTTTAATTGTGTATCAACTTGTATATACGATCTGATTCAATTCAATTCGAGAAATATGAATAACAAATAGCCGAGCAAATTCAGATGCACGCAATTTAAATGGATTTTTCCAACAAAAAGATATTACTGACAGCGATAAATAGTTTCGAGAGTCAAGCATGTTCTATATTTTTCAACGATAGAATTCTGCAAAAGAAATTACGGAATTCTTTGTTAGCCAAAATCGATTTTTCCGCCTCGAATATTTTTTTGTACGATTCCCCTTTGACTAAATAAATATTACTATTTAATTCATCGAATTAAAATTCTTTTTCGATATTGTGAATTACAAATAAATCTAAAATTTTTGCTTTTAAATGATATAAAACGGGATCCAAATATCAAAAGAAAAAAAAGGTCACATACGATAGGGCAAATATAAAAATTCCCTGAAGCGATTTCAAAAATAAATATTTGTCGAAAAATAAAAATGTCAAATTAGTATGCTATGAAGCTCTGTAGTATGCAATCGAAATTAATAATAAAATGTAATTGAATACATTTTATTCGAACGTGAAATAACAAAGTTCTAATTTTAAAAAAGTCATTGTTAAGAATTAAATGTTGAATATTCCACGCAATGCTTTTTTGCAAAATAGGATTGAATAGTAGGATGAAATAAACATACAAACAAGCTATTATTCAAATAAAATATTTATTTTATTTTTCTTCTTTCTTCAAAATAAAATATTTTATTATTTGTTTATTCGAAAAAAATTTATCGATTCTTCATATATCCCATCGTCATTTCAAATAATCAAACATTTGTTAATAATTTCTCTCTTATAAATATAATTTATCTTTACGAACTTTTAACTTTAAAATTTGTTTATATAAAATTTCACATTCATAGAAAATTTCTCGATTCTACCTTAAATTCATCTTGAAATTTCACAAAATATTTTCAATCGTTTATTTTATTATACAATATTATTGGAACATGAAAAGAACATTCTTTTGTTCCATATTGAAAGATTTCACGAAATTATTTCAAAAATCACCACGATATGATATATTCTTGAAACAATATTCTTTCGTAATAATTTTTATTTATATAATTCATTCCATCCGACACAAGGGGAAAATTATATGGAAATTTCTCGAGAATGGGATTCTGTGTTATAGAAAAACATGTTAATTGCGAGGAAAACCGAGCATGGAAACTCGAACGAGATTCTGTATCCAACACGCGGCCTGGCGTGTAATTACCTGCGTGCTCGAGAGGACGTTCAAAAAACGTCGAGCTTACGTCACACGCGCCATTGCTAGTCCTGAAAAGCTTTGCGTGTTCACATAACGACTTAAACGAAACTTTTGAAAGCACGACCCGATCGTTATTCGTTTATTAAAAGCAGAAATATTTATTTAACTTTGAGCAAAAAAAAAAAACTCATTACTCAATTACTGTAATTATTTACGTTTCTCGTATGTGATTTTTTGAAAAAAGAAACATGGCACGAGACGGGACAAAGTAACTCGGCCAGATTTAAATTATTTTAATTATTTAAATTATGAAATTGGTTTTTGACATTTTGTTGGCACGTGATGAATTTTCTTTTTTTTTTTCTTTTGTTGTTATTATTTATATTTGAAATTCAATTCCTGTCGTTATAAATATCATTTTATAAATGTATAACGAGCTTAATGAAGGTTTGAAATTATGATGATGAGAGTACGACGATACTAGCGCCACATGACTATTAACTAATCATACTTATATATTTATTCATTTATACGAATGAGAATTTCAGAAATGTAAATCAGATATTTCAAACGATTAGAATTAAAGTCAATGAAATAATATTGAATTTTCAAATCTGAAATGGGAAAAATTTAATACATAAATGGTAATTATTTTCTATATCACTTTATGCAAATTTCAAAAATTCAAAAGGATATTTTCAAAGTTATCTATTGTATTTTAAACGAAATATTTCTTCACGTTGTCTCGAAACGAGCAAAATTTTTATAAATATTTAAAATTCTTGAAAGTAATAAAAATCTAAAAACTAAGAAAATTAGAAATTTTTGTTCAATTTTAGCTTTCCGAATCACGAAATTGTCCAATTAAAACATTATTTAAAATTTTATTTTAAGAATTTAAAATTCTTTTATTTTATTTTAAATATATGTTAGATTTTTTTAAATTCCATGAATAATTCGCTTGTTTCTTTTAAATGATTTATTCTTTAGATAATAATATTTGAAATTTTTTATAGTGCGAGTAAAGCAAGACGTTACGACAATTTCTAAAAAAAGACGACTTTGAGGCAAAGTTATCTTTGCATCATTCATAATTGATTATTTGAACCATGCAAATGCGTGCCTCAACTTCTTATACCTCAAGGGTAATATTAATACTTAACCGTTATGTCTGGAGTAAAGAAAATACAGGGGAGAATTTTGCATTTGTGGAAAACCAAGATAAAATCCCTCGATGTTGGCAAAATTTTATATGCCATTTACTCATAAATTTACAAAGATAGAAGAAAGAACAGATTATATTTAACGATTTAAGCAAAAAATCGTAAAGGAAAAAAAAAAGAAGAAAAAATTATAATTCCATTTAAATTTAATCTTATCTTTTATATTTATATTTATATACGATCACACTCTCTATACTTTTTAATTTAAATACTTCTCTCCTGTTATTCTACAAACAAAATGTGCAAACAAAAGCAACGTAATTTAGTTTCAATTTAACTTAAAGTCAAATAAAATCTTGAATTGCCATTCATTGTTCAAAAACTTTTGATTAATGTTTTTAATTATTTCATTGTATTAATACAAAATATTTAGATTTAAAAACAATTAATTGTATTATTAAATATAGAATAATGTATTCATTTAAGAGAGAATAAAATCGAGTTAAATAATGAAATACGTAATACAATATACGTTCACAACATTATTAATTTAACACAATTTTTATTCTACAAAACATGTATGCAATTTATGTATGCAATCTTCAATACTTAGAGAAATAACTCTATGAAACTATAACTTCCTAACGTTCAATTTTCTCTCAATGCCAAACAAAGTTCCATAATGACAAATACATATCGATTTTCGCTCGATCTAGTCGCGTATGTGTTCTGTGTGAAGTCTAGAGCAATCGATGCAGATGGACTTCGATGAAATTAGAGTGCAAATACATTTGAGAAATAAAATTCTCGAGGCTTGCATATTTAAAAATCGTTTTTCACCATTGAATGTCGACGATCGAAAATGATAATGATCCACTCACAATTCAACAGTTTATCAGTGTAACGAGAAATAACATTCAAGAACGTTTCTCGAAAATTTCACTCCCAAACGTATTTGCACTCGATGATACATTTTCTTCTTTTTTTTTTTTTTTTTTCCTTCGATATAAGTAAGATTCGAGGAGGATAAAGTTATCCTCCGCGAGGTTATCCGTCCATCCTCGAATCTGCTCGAATTTTCAACCCTCTTTAGAAATCTCGACCCCCGTCTGTCTGTGATCCCTCTATATGTTCGATGTTCGACGATTTTTTTTTTTATTTTACTCTTGGTTGTTGTGTAACGTCGTGACCTTGGTCCTTGGAGCCCCCCGCGGTCCAAGAAGTGCATTGTCCCGCCGAGTCGAACCGGAAACAAAAGCTCGAAGGCGATCGATGATGAAGAATCTCGAAAAATTGGTTGGAAACCGAGTCTGAGGCCGAGCTTTTCCTTGTTTTCGAGCGATTCGACGTTCACTTTAACCGAATTTTAAACGAAATTCTCGATATATTCGAAAGGGTGGAGGATGTACGACTCGGATCCAACAATTTTTAGATTTTCAAGTTCAACGAGATGGAATGATAATAATAAAGTGTTGATTTCTCAATGAAATCACGCTACAGTTTCCGTTTCAAATTGCACTCTTATGCGATAACGAGAACGAATCGGTCACGTTTCTTGACATGCAAATTTGTTTATCTTATCCATCTCGGTGGAAAGATCGATACGCCTGTTATTCCACTCCTCTCTCGTGTCTCTAATCTCTAAATGTTATCCATAACGTACGAGGTATTAAAAGAGAGAAAAAAAAAAAAAAAAAAAAATTAATTAGAAAGATGCTGCAATTGATACACGTACTAACCGGCATATAATGCCATTTTTCTTTGTTTGTTCTCTGTGGCGCCCGTTGTTGTATCCACCTGAACACCTGAAAAAAACAAAACCACTCACTGAAAAAAACCTCTCAAAAAATCTCAAAAACTCTACCTCCAGGTCTTGAAGGTACTAATTAAATGCCTCCTTAACGAAGTTTAAATAAAAAGGCTTGTGTTTCGCTGTACGTAGCGCATGCTTCAGCTTGTATGCATTGATATTACACCTTTTTTTCTTCTTTCTCTCACTCTCTCTCTCTCACTCTGTCTCTCTCTCTCTCTCTCTCTCTTTCTCTCTTTATTTTCCTCCATTATTCTCTCACCTTTGATTACTTTTGCTCGATTTTACTTTTGTTCGCATCCGCGATACTGTATTACACTCGCTTGCCTTCTCCTTCTCGTTTATTTTCGATATTATTTGTTTTCAAACGAACGCAAAGCAACGCCTCTTCTTTCCTACGAATGCCATTTTTGCGTTAAATACTCGCTTGATCGTAAATAACAGGAAGATTTTCTGACCAGGAAAGGATCGAGCAAAGCTAATTTTACACGCTCGTTTCGCGATATAATTATCGCGTAATATGGTAATTTAAAAAGTGGTGAGAAACGGCGTAAGTTATGAAGTAGTTCCGTCGCCGTTATGAAAGGAAGCGTTGCTCGCCGCCAATTTGTTTTTTAATCGTTGCCCGCCTTTGTACTTCAATCTGTTCTCTTGCTCGTGTATTTATGCTCTATTTTCGTCCGCGACAACGCTGGAACGGCGTTGTCAAATTATGGTATATCGCTGCCCCTACTTTTCGATCGAATTAAAAAGCAGGGAGAAGAGTCGATGGCCGCTCGAGTCGATGTCGCGGATTTTTCGTGGATTTCATTTTATTTCGTACATTTTAATCTTCTCGGTGTGTACCCGCACGCGTGAGAATGTTCGCCACGATGATCGCATGTATGGGTAGAGCAGTTAATTAGTCAATTAGTGGGTTAAATAAATAATATGACACGTATTTGTATTTTCAGGAGGTCGTGGTTTTTTTAGCGTGTATTAAATATGCAAGTTAATAGATGACTCCGTGTGATTATATTATTTTCAAAATTTTAGAAATCGAAATCTCTTTGCGAGGATTTGTTAAATTGAAAATTCTTACGTGAAATATTGTAAAAATATATTCTTCACTGAACCTACAAATCTGTTTAATACACGCGAAACAAGGATCTCTAATTTCTTAATAGTTAGACGAGTAAAAAGTCTTTGAATCTTTCAAAAAAAAAAAAAAAAAGAAGAAAGAAAAACAGTTTCGAAGATACGAAACGAGTACATCTCCGTAAACTGTTCCTCCTGCTCTTCCTTTCTCTCTCTCTCTCTCTCTCTAATAATTATCTCTTTTCTTTCTTAACAAACAATATTTAATTTCGAAAAGTGAGAAAGGGACAGCAAAGTTATCTTATCTACGTCCTCCGGAAAAGAAAAGAACCAAAAGAAAAAAAAAAGAAAAGAAAATATAACAGATCCATATAATTTCTGTTAAAACGATTTATCCCGATAAAACGATAACAAGAATGTGTTCGATTAAAAAAGTATTATGATCATTACGATTATTACAATAATTCCCTTGTAAGTAAGTATTCCTTGTATAATTCACAATACGTCGCAATGTATTCGAAGAAAGGTGAAAAGAGATCACGGTGCCCCGTGTAATAAAATGCCTGTGAATATACATTTATATATATACACGCACAATATGAACACGCTTTTGAGAAAGCTTTGAAAGAAAAAGGCGATGGAGTCGAGAGCGTATAGACGAAGGCGCGAAATTAGCTGCTACGAGTTAGCAGTTCTGTTGCCAAAGGAGGCAAGACAGTAGCGCATGCAACGTGCACGGGGCCCCGTGCATTAATATCTTAATTGAAATCTAGCCAACCGTGCGCCACATCAGGCGCCAATATTGCTAATTGGATTAGATTCTCTAGAGATTCATCACCTCTATCTCGCTATACGCCTTTCACCATTATCCCCTACATTTTATTCTTATTATCATCTTTTCCCTTTTCTCTTTCACTCGCTCACAATTATGATTTTTATTGCTCATCCTCCATTTTTATCTATTCGTTTTATTCATTTGTTTACTCGTTGTGTATATATTTTATAAATATACCCGGACATACATCTTCGCATCGTTCATTTTTATTTTTATTTCGTATACATTCGATTATGGGGCTGATTTATAGCATACATTTCCGCTATCTTCTCTAAGTGTTTTTCATCAATGATAATACTTGTGTTTCTTTGGTTTCTCAAATGAAACGAATTCGTTCTCGAGCAGAGAGTTTCTCGATTCTCGTGTTCCTCGATATTTATGCGAATAATATTGTTCTCGAGTTTGGCTCGCAAATACGATGAAATGTTGGCACTTCGAATTGCGCACTTGTTTATTATCGAATTATCGAATATCTCACTTCATAATCGATTTATGCGATTTATTCTGGAAACTGTTAATAAATACCGTTCTTTGCTAATATTTGATCTAACATTGATCTCATTGATCGAAGTATCTTCTTCTTTAAATTCGTTAAATTTGCGCTAAAGTTTATCTTTTGCGTTAGATATCGAGAAACTTTTACTCTGACCACGACAAAAATGCTGAGAGCACGGCTTTGAAAACGAGCCAATGTAAATAAAACACATCTTATCGTGATTGTAAATAACATTTGTAAATAACAACGCAAATATATATCAATAATATATTTGGCATGATACGTTTCTCTCATAAATCTTTTTTTTTTTTTTCATTTTTCAAATTGCAATGTTCCATTACACACAATTACGTTCAACAACGCGGAGAATTTATATTGTACACGAGTTGAAAATATCAATGGAACAAGAACGATCTATGCCAAATGTAATTCTCGGTGTCACGTTTTATATACGTACGATTTATTTCATCTGTTTATCACTTTTTTCTTTTCTTTTCTTTCTTTAAAATCGTTGAAAATCGAAGAAAAGAAAATTGATCTGTATCTTTTCACAATATAATCTCGTTGTGCAAATATAAAATAATATTCACTTATTTATCATTTTCCCCTTCGATTTCACCCTCACTTATATCTCTTCATCTTCTTCTTCTTCTTCTTATTTTCTTTTCCTAATTCGTCATTCTCATCTCTTCCTTGCTCTTTATCTCTGTCTACACAATAGATAGACCGGATGACGGTGGTTCCTTTTGAATCAGACGAGAATTAATTCTCTATCTTTTCTCAGACAATGGCGGCGACCAAGAGGAACGCGGCTGGTCTAACCTCGGCGGTGCCAAGAGCGACCTTGAACGACGAGGAGCTGGTAAGAATTCGTCCTTTAACAATTATCTTTTTCAGCCATCATCGCCATCTTATCGCGTTTTCCTATCTCGTATAAAATATTCTATAATCGCTTAATTGCATAACGACGAGAAACATTTATAACGATCATCGTAACTTCTGAAATTATAATATACGTTCTTCGCGTGAAAAACGTGATTTCCTTTCTCGAGATCGAGATTAAGAGCAAAAAGAATTTTCTTTTAAATTATTGTATCCAATAATTTTTATTAAACATCATCATCGTGTTATTTTATGAGTAAGAATAAATAAGAATAAATAAAAATGGATCTTTTCACAATTTTCACAATATCAATTCCTTATTTATTTATTCATAAAATATCTAAAATTGCAATGTTTATCGTAACGATGAAAAATAATATGCTAGAACGTTTTTCACGCGACGCACAAACACGAAAGATGATTATCCAGGCAAAACTTGGATTGCCAACGCGATCGAGGGGAAGGAATCCAGAGAAAATCGACGTTCCTGGAATGTTTAGATTTGTTTTGAAACGAAGAAAGCGTTTCCCGCGCAAACGTCGAGGATCGAGGAGGCGAAGTGAAATTAAAACTTCACTGGTCGGGGAATTTTTTTTTAATATCCACGAATGAAGCTCGTTTAGAAGAATCTTGATAATCAATCTTAGCGTGGATCATTCGCGGAATAGCACGTTGGAACGCGATGAAATTCGATCGTGTCGAGTGTCGTAAAAGAAAAAATAAAAAAGAAAAACGACGAGAGGTCTCCTCGACATTGATTGGGGGATCGCGTGAGGACGATAGGCGACCTTGATGCGTTATCGAAGGTCGTTAGATAACGCGAAGATGAGGGTTATAAATTGCACAGATTGTTTTTTTTCAAGTTTTTGGAGAAAAGATTGAGGTGATTGGAATTGTGAGTTTTTATTTTTATGGTTTTGAAGAACGGATTGTAAAGTTTGGAAACTTTGAAAAAATATTTCACGATATTAAAGAAAAAGTAAGAAAAATAAAATTGCGTTTTCATATTAATTGCTATTTAAATTGATACGCAATGTAAATGAAAATGAGAATAGCTTGGAATAACTTTTAAAATTTTGATAAACTTTAGAGAAGAAAGAGAAAAATTGTATTGAATTTGCAAGAAAATATATGGCAAGGTATAAAGTATTGTGGAATTTTTTGAAGCTTGAGCTTTTCAATGAAATATCCTTGCTAACATTTCTGAACCATTAGACTAGAGAAAAATTGATATGGTTTTACTTTTGCATCTCTGATATTCGTATTCTTTTTTTTATCAATTATTTTTCAATCTTTCGAGAGAGAATTTTTAAAATGATTAATCATATTTTGTGTTAAAACTTGACAACAAGATATAAAGATTATATTTGCAATTTCAAATTATACGTTTTCAACGAATAATATATATTAGTACATATTTCAAATATTATCATAAATTATTATAATGCTATTATCTAATTTGTAATGAAAATAAAATGTTCATTTTAACGAAAATAAATTTTCTGCAACTAAATAATACTAAGAATATTCTCCACACTTAAAAAACAAACTGTACAAATTTTATTATTTTTTGGTCTGATAAAGGTATAAAAGATGAAAATAATTCTATTAGAAAATTTTAATACGGATTAACCAAACAATAATATCTTTTAACAAAAGTAAATATTTTTATATTTAAAATTCTCTCAAAGATATAAAAAAAACGCATATTATCCAACTCGTTAAATCTTAAAAGCAAATCGTAATAACTTGATCTCTCGAATTAAACAATATATCTGGCAAAAATTTATTCTCTCGATCTTTTCCTAACAAATAAAAGAAAAAAAAAAAAAAAGGACGAAAAAGAATCTATAAAAGAAATTCACTTTTTAAAATACCTTCATCACTCTGAAAAATAAATAAGCGCTTTTATTATAATTAAAACGAGCTATGTGTCGTATAGAAATACGAATAAAAATAATTTAAAGCGGAATAACGTTTCGATCCCGGCGAGCGAGAAGAGAAAAAAAGTAAGAAAGGTTAAATAAAAATCACGTAACCTCGAAATCACGCTTTGTCGAAAGAATTTTCAAAAGCAGGATTCGCATTCAGGAAAACGTGATTAGCCGAAGGATCCAGCGGTTCTAAGTAATCGGCCGCCATATTGAAAATGGCGTCGAGTGGCGCGAATTTCGTTTTGCGCTATCAGTTATTCCCCGTGTTTATTGTAACGATGAATAACAGGCGAAAATTCACGATTCTTTGTAATCGAACACGCATATTGAGAAACGCGTCATCATAAAATTTAAGCGATAACGAAAGTAGAACATATCCAAGCGTTATCCAGCGACGAAAGCTCGCCGACGAAGTTAAACTAAACTATAATTATTTTTCTGATAACTTTTTTTTCTTTTCACATGAACTGTGCTGCATTTTATCCTCATTTCCGCGCTATTTTCTTTCACGTAAGTGTGGCCCAACCTGTCTCTCTCTCTCTTCTCTCTCTCTCTCTCTCTCTCTCTATCTTCTTTTCTTTCTTTCTTCCTTCCTTTCTCTATTTCTTTGCTTTACTTCTATCACTTCTTCTCTTTCTCTCTATCTGTCTTTTCTCTCTCTGTCTTCTTTTCGTTCTTTTTTTTCTGTTCTGAAACACGTTCTACGAGAAAAAGCAAAATACGTAGCGAATCTAGACGAGATGATCGTTCTCTTTCTTTCTCTTTCTTCCTATCTATCTTTCTGTCTCTCTCTTTCTCTCTTTCTGTCTCTCTTTAGCGGCTAGGGTGAACGTTTTCGAGTATACGCATATCTGCATAATAAGTATTTGTACACACTCGTCGCGAGCATTGCCAAACGTGAGCGCCACGTAGCGGTCGAAACGTGCGGTATCATCGCGATGTGTGTATATGTATGTGGGTCACGTGTAGGTTACTCGCGGATATGAGATGCTACAATGGTCATGTAAACCGAGTATAAATTAGGATAGAGCTAGGAGAGTCCGATTCCTGATCACGAGTGTCGGATGTTCCTCGTATTCGTCGTGTTTGCAAATCCGATATCCATGGTTCGAATGGCAATTCACCCTTTCGTCACCAATAAGCAAATAATTGGATAAAAATTGGAAACACTCGATCGTTTGTCAAATCGAATAACTCGATTTACTCGACTCTTTCAATTCAATTGGATAAATCGATTGAACGTACGCAATAATTGCGAGGTGTCTTATTTTACGATTATCGAGAAATTGATTCGGTATATTGAAGTTTACGATTTGAAGTTTGATATTAAAGATGAGGGTTAAAAGATCACGGGTAGATCTGATCTAAATCATAGAAATTGCAACAACGCAACGGCATTTTTCGACGATTTTCGAAATAAGAATAATCGTCGAATAACCGATATAATTTTAGATAAAAGTTTCCTCTTTCAACGTTTCGAAAATAACGATTCAGATTCCCGCTCTCGGAAAACTCGTCGAAATAGGCTGCAAATACGCGAAGCAAAAAAAAAAGAAAAAAAACGAATGACGTGAAACGAATATGTGGAACATCCTGAGCTCACGACATTACCTTTATAGTGCTTTTTAGCGGATCGATGCTTTTTACACCCCCTTGCAGAGCGTTTCCAATAGTAATACGACATCTAGAGAACGTGCTCACCCTCCATCTCTTTTTCTCTCTCTCTTTCTCTCTATCTCTCTCTCTCTCT